TTTAATAATGAAATCACTTTCTTCGTATGAGCATAATGATATATATATATATGTTATTTTATTTGGGTTGATATAGATTCATGTATCTATTGTGTAATGATAAGTTCAGAATTATTAATATATTTACTACCTTATTATAACTTCATGGTAAATAAATTTAAAACCTACAGCTCTACTTTGAGACATACAATTTTGTTCTTATTTATATGCAACCTCCTGCAACACAGAGCACCAGAACATATCTCCCCTCTTTCTCCATATTGTTGCATTTATAATCTTCTTTACTTCCCAAGATGCATGCAAAACAATTACAGGTAAAGTGAAGAAAAACAATTCACAAATTAAATATTTACTACCATTAAAAATTGTAAAACAATTTGTGTTCAGTTTTACCTTTATATAAATAAAGGTTCTCTCTCTCCCTCTCTGTCTCTCTCTCTGTCTCTCTGTCTCTGTCTCTCTATCTCTGTCTCTCTGTCTCTCTCTCTCTCTGTCTCTGTCTCTCTCTCTGGTTTTTCGAGACGGGATTTCTCTGTGTAGTTTTGGTGCCTGTCCTGGATCTCACTTTGTAGACTAGGCTGACCTTGAACTCACAGAGACAAGCCTGGTTCTGCCTCCCAAGTACTGAGATTGAAGGCATGCACCACCACAACCTGGCCAAGAATACTCTTAAGTGAGAAGGACAGCAAGCTTCTAGAAATATTTTCAGTAAATTTTGCCCAGTATTTACACGAATTATTTCACTGAATTACCTGAACATGTCTGCAATGTAACAATGATTACCAACTTTGTTAATACACACAAGGATGCCAAAGGTTAGAAAAGTCCAGGTATTTGGCTAAATGCACAGAATTTGAAAAAAAATAAGAGATAAAAAAATCACATTTGTGTTCTGGTTCAAGAGAATGTGATTCTGAAATATTTATTCTCTCAGCCAGAGTCATGCATAACATTTTGAGGTCTGCCAAATAAAAATGATTGTTTTGGCCTATGAAAAAACTAAACCAGGGAGCTGCTAAGCCTCTCCCTAATGCAGCAGTACTGTGATGGGATGCCTCTCACAATGAAATAAAATCACATGACAATGGACAATGATGCAGAGGTTATAGAGACTAATTTGGAAATTGCAAACTGCTAAGGGCATATTCTCACCTTCCTTTCCACAAGAAATGGTCTGCATGTCTCATTTCCCCAGATGAATAATTTTAAATAGACTAAATTTTACAAACAAATCTGAACAAGAGTTTTCCTTCTCAAATATTTATGACAAAAATTAAGGTGCCAAAGCAAAAGGAGTGAAGTGCAGTTTTCAAAACTTTGGTCCAAACATTTTTGAATAATGGCTTTACATGAGAATTGCCTGAGAAGGTTTATAGTCTACCACTGTCTGTATCATATCATTCTGGATGGGACTTCAAGGATAATAATTTGAAGGTGGTAGACTAGCGGCATGAATATTACTTCTAGGCTTAACATGTTGTAAGTTCTGGGTTATCTATAAGCATTATTTTACTTAACCCTCTTTACCCTCATATATATATATATATATATATATATATATATATATATATATATACACTCTGAGACTGAGTGCAGTTAAAAGACTTGCCTGAAGGTATCGTAATGTGTTTCAGAATAAGTTAGCCCATTCTGTGTGCAAAACCTTCCACAGTACTCTCCTTCAACCTACTCCCACAGATCTATGCAAAGATGAAATTCTTCAGAAAATATTCAGTTTTTTTTCTCTACAAATATACCTGTTAATTTAAGAGTGAATGCAGGACAACAGAAGATAATCTTTGATCTTTCACTCTATTTCCTCATGCTTGGACTCTATTTCCTCATGACTGGACTCACTGCCACAGTATCATAGTGAACATTAAACTTGAATAATTTTTTCATGTCAATTTATTTCTTCACAATGAGAAAACAATATCTCTTCATAAAAAAAAAATCAAAGGAGACACACTGAACAACAAAGCAAAGCACAATCTCCTGTGTCTTTCTGTGAAGAGTTTCTCACTTCTCTTCTTTCTGATTTGTCAGTCCTTTAAATGACTCTCTGAGTATGTCTTTTCTGTATCCATTGATTTTTCATTTTTTGAATTAATTTTTCAGACTACATAAATAGTTAATGTATAGTTTCCTTAAAACATTATTTTTAATAAATATTTTTATTTTATAATTAATTTAATTTTACATATCAGCCGAGGATTCCCCTGTCCTCCCTCTTCCCACACTTTCATGCATTCTCTGCATTCTCACAAAATATTATAGAGTGGGATTTTACAAAAATATAAATTAATTCTCTCATACTTGGAGTTAAAGTTCTTTGGGGTTAGAAGCTTCATGTTGTCACTTATGGCAGTGAAAAAAATCTATGTCCTCTCATGGATGAAGACAAAAGAGCTAACCTGACAGAGTTCTTCAGTAAACCATTTTATACAGGAACCAAGTCCAACTCACGAGGAAGAGCCTGAAGACCTCACCACTATACAGATATCTGGTTCCTGAATACTTTCATTTACACTACTAACACCTCAGTTTATGATAGAACTCTTTCAAACTGTGATTAGCCCTCACTAACCTAATCATCAGATTACTATCTTAGCACACAGACAAAAATAAGAAAATTGAATGGAGTGTCCATTTTATGTCAGAGTGTCACAGTGGTCTTATTTGGACTACTGCTGTAATCTCATAACTGATCTGCTCTCCTAATCAGCATCTTTGCATTCAAGTAAATCTGGAAGCACTTAGAGCACAGATGGCCATATCAAGAATTGACCTGGGCTTGAAAGGCCCTCCTTGTTTCCCCCATGGAGCATATAAAATACACATTCTGTCATTCAAATGCCCTCTAAATTTGATCTTAGCTTGAATTTCTAGCTGTACATTTGATAGTAGACTTTTTCCATCATTTCTTCTAAAACTGTTTTGAAATTTTGAGCTCCCTATCTTCCTCTCACATGCAAATCTTTCCTTTCAATTGTTCCCAAGTCCATGTAATATTCAAATAATTGCCATTATTGGTCTTCCATGTGTTCATCTGCACCAGCAAGATTGGTGTGTCACTTGAGAAAGTGCACACACACACACACACACACACACATACACACACCTCAAAATGCATTGCTCCCAGTGTATGTATGGTTGAGTGTGTTTGTTATATAAGTGATGTTTAAAGCACATTGTTGTTCTGTATTCTTTAAAACTTACCAAACATCATTCTGAGTATAAATTTCAATTTTACACAACTATCAACTACTCAACTATTATTACAGTTTTTTTTTCCTGAGCAGTGACTGCAATTGAGAGTATATCAAAAACATTTTGTTTGACAAGATCTTGCAAGAACTCAAAACTATTTCTATTACCACCAAGATATACTACTCAGATGCACCATTGATATCCTTCAGGATTAAAACTCTCTTCCCCTATATTCTGGGTGTACTAGTAATTGACAGTGCAAGGCTGATAATCCCTGACAACACTTTGTAGTTGCCCTCGGCTAAACACAGTTGCCTGACCCAAAGCCAATGTTCCTTTCTCTTAGGCCATCTCATCTCCCACTTCTTCAGTCTTGCAATGTGAATAATTGCGCATTTCTAAATGAGCACTCCAAGTCTCAATACTTTGCTTCATAGCCTCATATAATTTACTGCAGATATTGTTGTGGTTTCGTGGCTGCATATATACTTCTGCTTCATCTTGTTTCTTTTACTTATCTCCAGAAGTAAGGACACTGAAGGACACTCTCCAGTAAAAATTCTGCAAGTTATATATTATTAACATGATTTCATATAATTCCATGAATTATCTGTGATGTTAACATTTTTCAATAAATCATCAGGTAACATATTCTTTCATTTATCCACTTAATTAATAAATATGCTAAATAACTACTTTGTGAATGACTTTTAATTGAGTAGAAGAACACTGGCTGACCCTCATCTACTATGATTCTAATCACACCAGACACCTCTTGTTCTCCATTGTTTCAAAAGTCATCAGATTATCCTATGATCAACTTTGTCTTTACTTATGATTGAATAATTTTTAGGGATTTCTTCTTTTATGTGTCTGTGAGAAACATGACTTTTTTTAATATTTAGTTTCAATGTAATCTGTCTTTGAAACCTATATATGACCATTCTCTTTGTGCTAGACCAAACAAGGGAACCATGATTGCTGCACTGGTATTCACCTGAGTAACTGAGTCAATTTGTCTGTTTCCTTCTGTTTCTTCCCACCACAAAATTCTAAGCTTCTTTAGTACAGGGATTTCATTTTAGCTTATATACTGCCATTCAGGTCAGCTTTATATGTACAGTTGTTGCAAAACACTGAAGATTAATGTGTGAAGAGGTTTTCATTCTGTTATCCATGGTTCTAATTACTGGAGTCTGCTGATTAATTGGTGGTTCCTATCTTATTTTATATTCTGAGAAATTAAATGTGATGGAATAAAATATTCCTTTGATATTTATGTGCTGCTTTTTACAGCAGTCAATGTTTCAAGTTACATTCCATTGTACTTTGGCAAAACTCAAGTGCTACATGCTGTATTATATCATTAATCTATTGCTTCATATTTCTTTGATATGATTCCTTTGCATATTCCTTAAAACCACAGAACTCTAACCAATATCCTTAAAATGAAAACTACAAAGGCATCTTAAATAATAAACATTAAAAGTGCCAACTTATCTATTAATACAACCTAGCAGTATTGTTTTTTACAAAAGGCTTGCTGGTTGTTGAAGTTCTGACAAAGTTGTTTATATCTGTCTGTCTATCTATCTATCCTCCATCTATCCTTTATCTATCTATCTATCTATCTATCTATCTATCTATCTATCTATCTATCTATCTATCTATCTAACTATTTATCTCCAATAGGTTCATGTACAATATACTTGACAAGATTTAGCACTTGGCAAAAATACTGTGCAAATTCTTACCATTTTCACACACTCTCTCTCTTTTTTTAAAATTAGGTACATCTGTCACTAATGTTACAGCCACGGATGCAGATGACCCAGTTTACGGAAACAGTGCAAAGTTGGTTTACAGTATCTTGGAAGGACAGCCGTATTTTTCCATTGAGCCTGAAACAGGTTTGTAGCTTAAATTTTAAATTCTATTTAACATGTTTTGCTTCAGGGAAACACTTATTGGGATCTGGTTTATGAAATGATCTGACTAAATATTTCACTGACTATACGAATAATATTTTACTTCATACTGTGAGGGACACAGTTAGCCTTGCAACCATTGATACTGATTAAAATGAATTATAAAACTTGGGTTGGCTATCACCCTTTTAGCAGATGGTCTAATACCATTTCTCATCCTGGAGTTAAGGAAAGCAAGGTGCTTACATCAGGGGAGATCAATATCATATTTAATTATAGATTTCAGTAACTTGTTGGCTTTCTGTTAAGTGAGAAGTCACTTTCTAGGTTTTACTTTGTACATCTATGAAGTGGAGCTGGACCCCCCCCCTGCCCTTGTGGTATTAATGGTACAATGACTGTTCATCACATTCTTATGTCTCTATCATTACATGGAACAGAGTAGTCCTCCATTGATATCTCAGCACTTGATGCTCATAAAGATATTTGTGTGATTCAAGTCAACTTCAGCTAATATTATCGGTTCTGATTGGGTAGATATTTTAAAATATGTTCTTTGGGGGGGGGGAATGATCAGGGTAATGGTGATGTACACCTTTAATTCCAGCACTCAGGAGACAGAGCCAGGAGGATCTCTGAGTTTGAGACAAGCCTGGTCTACAGAGTGAGTTCTAGAACAGCTGGAGCTACATAAAGAAACCCTGTCTTGAAAGAACAAAACAAAACTAAAAAAACACCACCAATAACAAGAACAACAAAACCAAAAATAAATAAATAAATAAACAAACACTGAACACATGCACATAGACATTGATTTCTCTTTAAAAAGAGATGAAATAGAAAAGATCCTTATATGAACAATATATTTTGTAAATGAGGACATTTATCCCTAAATACGTTAACATAACCTAAGATTAAATTTGTTCTGACAGACTTTATTATGTCATGGGGTTTTTATTAGAGCATACCTAACATTATTATATTTTATTGATGTCAATGTTGTTATTAAGAGCAGTTGTTAATCAAAACAATTTTACCACATGTATCTGTCTTCTTTATCCTGTGGTTCCTGTTTTCATTTTACCTATCAGAAACAGTCAGCCTACCTGTGTGTTTTTTCTTTGGTTCATAAATTTTTATAACCACTGAGAGAAATTCCATGACTTGTTGTTAGGTCATTCATTAATCAAATCAAAAACTGAATTTGTTCTTTGTGCTTTTCAAGATAAATTCAAGGAGCAAAATGTGCCTTTAAAAGCAAATACATAAATAGGCCACAGCTACAAAAGTAAACATAAATTTGGAAACAAGAAGGCACTTGTAAAGTGCATTAAATTCAGGCTATGGTTAGATAGATGATTTCCCCAGTGAAGAAGAAAGTCTATTGTAAAGTTTTTCTCATTTTTTTTGAGCTAAGGATCGAACCCAGGGCCTTGTGCTTGGGCACTCTACCACTGAGCTAAATCCCCAACCCAAACTCTCAATGGTTTCACGTTTTTTTTTTTTTGTTTGTTTTTTTTTTTTTTTTTTTTTTTTTGAGCTGAGGGTCGAACCCAGGGCCATGCACTTGCTAGGCAAGTGCTCCACCACTGAGCTAAATCCCCAGTGCTCATTTGAACTCCAAGATAATCCTGGATACAGCAGAGTAAGTCATCATTTAAAGAGAAAGGGTGGCTAGATATTCCCTACAATTCCCCATCAAAGGTCTAGTAGTAGAATTGGGAGCAGCCAGGACTCACACCCAGGTCTCCGAATCCATAGTTAATACGATGATGTTAGATTTTTTTGAATTCTTCCCTCCGTCTCTCACTACATCTGTCCTTTCTTCCTTCCTTTCTATGCTCCCTCCTTTCTACCTCCCCTTCCTTTCTTCTTTCCCTTTTTCGGTTCTTTCCTTGCCTCACATAGCCCAGGCTCATGGCCAAGACACTATGTTTTAGGTGCTGGCCTTGAACGTCTACTCTTCTTGCACTATTTCCAAGTCCTAAAATTACAGGCATGAGCCATCACTGTAGCCTGGTAACTTGAACTTCACTTTAGACAGGGCAGTTTCATTGGAAGAGCTTACATAAGGAAAAAGTTGTTCACTTGAACATTTTCGTTCACTATTTCTAGTATAATAAAGATATTAAGCCAAGAATTTCCATTGAGCATTCACTATGTGCAGCCACTGAATTAAACATGGGGAGTAAAAAAATTACAAAGGCTAGTCTCAGCTTGCAAGTGTCTCACGATCTATTTCAGAAGATAGTTTTCTTTTTTAAAAAACATAAATATAATAAGCATGGTGATCTTTTAAATAATTTATATCTGAAGAATAAACTCTTGTGTGATGTAGATAACTAAAGCTCCCTAACATGGTCGAAGTTTCTTGGGTATATATTGCCATTTGCCTGATTAAATGATCTCAGCTATATTCATTATTCATGTTTTTAGCCAATATAATAGGGATCCATATCAACACATCCATTTAAACTTTACTGTTTGCAGTTTCACTGATATAAAATTGTCTTATATAGATTTTAGTAAGTTAATTCTGGTGCTACTTTGGATAATGCTCTGCAGAAAAATGATACTTGAGCAATTCACATAGTAGTTGCTAAGTAAATATTTGGTATTTGGAAGATGAGGGTGACAGTTTAGCTAAAGAAGTTACAATGAAATTGAAAACAGACTCAAAATTTAATAATCAATGAAGAATAAATTAAACTTATATTCTTAAAACAGCAAAGCACTTGTAAAGTGTATCGATTTAAACTTCGATAATACACAATCCTTCCTCAGCCAACAAGGAGGCCTGTTATAAATATTATCTTATTTGGGCCTCACAGCCTTGGAGAAGTGGCCGCTGAATGAAATTTACACATCGCTCTGTAAATTCTTGTATTATTGCACTTGAATGTGTTCAAATAAAAAGAAAAAGAGGTTGCTTTCCCAGGGAATCTAACTCTTATTATTTATGTAAAAATTTTCCTCTCTTTTGGAAAAAGGAAACTGATAAAAGAGATTGAGAGAGGAGATTTAGAATTATATAAAAATAGAAAAATAAACATCCCAGAAAACTTGCAGTTTTGTTTTTATCAGGCTATAGAAATTGTGTCACTCTTCTTAGATTAACAGAACCAATGGAATGAATATGTGCATTCAGGTGGGATTTATTAGATTGGCTTAAAGGAGACAGTTAGGCATCCACCAATAGCTGCTGTTTCACTGGGAAGCTCGAGGACCTATAGCTGCTCAATCTGCATTGCTATGTGCTCAGCAGCTCCATCTGGCTTTGAGGGGTACAGGATTCCAGGAGAACCACTGGTCTCAGATCTGTATGAATGAAGATGGGTTCAGATGCAGTGAAGAATGGCAGCAGCTGTAGTGGCAGTAGCAAGATGACCACTGGGCTTCTGGGCTTACCTACACAACATGAAGGCAAGCAGGTGAAAAACAAAACTTTTTCTTTCTCTGACTTCCATTTATTTGGACTGCGACTGGGTAGTGCTGCCCCACATCCAGTATGTCTCTTTCAACTTCAATTAAACATTTCAAGAAAAATTCCTCACTGATATGTCCAGGGACTTGTCTGTGAGTTGATGCCAGAGGAAGCTAAGTTGGAAACTAAAATGAACCATCACAAAATTAAATAACTTTGGTGGTGACCAGAAGAGGAGGAGCACTTAGATACGCTGAGAAATAAACAAGAAAATAGAGTTCAGAATGAAAATGGCTTAATGGGGTTCATGACCAAAAGATCAAATGAGTCAGAAAGCCAGATTGGCAAGGAAGTCCTTCATGTCAGATTCCCATCAATTAGAAAAGAAAAAAAAATAGAAAGGAAGCAGGAACAGGCAATTTTTAGGTTCTTGGGGATCCTTGGAGTAACTGAAGTGTCTCATACTGCATATAATTGTCTAGTCTCTAGCATATACACTATGCTAAGCCATGGAATTTGAAGTGCTTAGAAAGTTCTTTCTTTAACTGAAAAGTCCTATCTTATGAAACCAGTGAACACATTACTAAGAGTAGTCCCATCCAGGGCCAGCAAATGTTGGACAATTACTAGGCATGTACATTGTAAAATGTATCACATGTATCAAAAACACCAGGAATGTCCTCTAACTTTGACTAGGATTTAAAATCCTAGAAACAGTAAAGAATTTTTCAAAGATGAACAGAGACTTCTTATATAAGACCAATATACCTCTGGAGGCATTTGTCATTGTTAGCTTTAGTTGTCAACTTGACACATCTAGGAAGAGGAAAAGTCAGTTGAAGAATTGCCTCTATCAAATGACCTATAGATATGTATTTGTGGTGTTTTCTTGAGTGCTGAATGACATAGGGGGGCCAAGACCACTGTGAGTGGTAGCATCCATAGACAGGTGGGCCCAGGCTTTATAAGAAAGGTAGCTGAACAGGAGCCTGGAATCAAATCAATAAACAACATTCATCCACATTTTCTGCTTTTGTTTTGACCACAGGTTTATGACTTGAATTCTTGCTCTGACTTGCCTTCCTGGTGAATTGTGATCTGGGAGTTGTAAAATGAAATAAACCCTTTCCTCTCCAAGTTTATATTGTTCATTATTTTGTCACACAGCAGAAAATCCAACTAGAACAGCATTCCGAATGAAATGTCTTGGTACATGTTTTGGTATGTCTATGATTTTTAGGAAGTGACACAGCACAACTTAGTCATAAAATGTTATCAGTTATAATGTCAGACTCTTTCCCTTTTCACAAAGACTTGGCCATGCTAGCAAGGATCAGACCTGTAGGTAAAATGATCAATATCTTGACAGAGGACACTTACTCAACAGGCTGTGTGATAGAGCTATGCTCAGGGTCTTTTTGTAGTAGATTGGCCTTTGACCACTCTCAGTAAATTCTTGGTGTGAGAACATTTTCAATAGTTAAAAAATTGTAAAGCATAAGAGACAGACAAGAAATTTTATCTTGCTTTGTCCTCACAAGAATGTTAAGAGCAGAAC